TATATTTTTTAATACTACGTGTAATATGAAAACTATGAAAACTATGAAAAAGTGAATACAGATGTTATACAGATAAATAAAATTACGATAACTTTAGATGTTGCGATTTACTAATTATTTTTAATTTTAATTATTTTTCGGATGAAAAAATAATAAGCCTCAGATAAAACAAAGTTATAAGAAATTTCCATGTTGCGCCAAATACGTGTTGATTTATGATAATATAATTTAGGCAGTTTTAAACGAAAACTTTGTCGCTTTTTCTTTTTTAATTATATAGAAATATAAATATCAGTCATAAATGCGTAATGATATCTGAACTTTGTCGGATGAACAAAGTTTCACGAGCTAGATCGATTTTACGGGACGCACGTGACATTCCTGAGGTTTTCCCTCGTGCGTCGCACGTTCATACGACCGATTACTCAGCGGCCGCGTGGACAATCGAGTTACGCATCAAATCGTCACGATCGACCCATATTACATCGTTCGAGGTCAGACAATGGTCTATTAAGAGCGCAAGAGCGTACATGCAGTATACCGCATTTCGTTTCAATTATTTGTTGCATATATATAGAACTTTCGAGAATTGACACATTATAAGATTTAAGTAAATAAATATTCAAGATTAGAATTGCTACATATGTGCTGGTTGGTCCTAACATGATATGTGAATCCCTCGTCGATAAAAAATAATATTTTTATCGTCCCAAGAGAGAAAGAGAGAACCACTCGGGAAATCATTCTCCTCGTTTCTTTACTCTTATTAGCCTCTCTTTCTCTTTCTTCCTCTATCACTCTCTCATTCTCGCTTCTTTTTACTTGCACGCAGTGTCCATCCGTGCGTGAGTGCGTGTGCCACTACTAACGACGCGTAGATAAGAGCACGTGGTTATTTTTGTAACGCACCGGCTAGCAACAGTTTCTCGGTGTCATCACGTGGTGTGGTGTACCCTACGCCTCTGTCGAATCTCAATCGATTTCAACACTCCTGCGGTTTTTATTGCATGGTTATGCGATCGCAGTTACTAACGTTATAAAGTAGAACGAACATGCAACCGAAATAATCCATTCATTTCAGCTGGTCAGTTAAATTAAGAATTTTTTGTTTTACATGTTACATTTATAAATTTTATAATTAATATTTTACAAATTTACTAAGTATCATATAATCGGGACTTTAATTTTAATTCAAGAAAGTTTTCGATTAATTTAATAGAAATAGATTTTTTAAGAAAAATATTGAGAAGAATATATTATCTTCCTCCTTCTAGTTTTTCATCACTTAATATTATTTTTTTCATAAAAAAGAACCGTGATAATAAATTAGACATATAGGATCATAATTATGCGCTGAGAAATAAAAGAGAACAGAAATATATTTCTTTTGGAGAAGATATTTCGTAATGCTAGATAATGCGATGCCAACAAGTATGTTTTTTTAACGTATTGTTTGTCGTTTGTCTTTTACACATGAAGAAATATACGTTTGTATGTTACATGTATACGCAAATGTAATATGAGAATCAGTCTACGTTTCGGAACTTTGTAAAATAATTATGCAACTTGTTATCATACTTGTTTATTACTGTAAAATAACCAATTTATATATTATATACATATATTTTTAATAAAATACAAAGTAGCAACGATATAATCTTCGTAACATTTTGAGATATCCTTAATAGAATGCCTGCAAAAGTTTGTGACAATTAAGTGTGAAATGTTAATATGCTGTATTCGTGATAATTTAATGATTTATAAATTTAAGATAAAAAATAATAATATCAAAAATCATTGTTGATAATTTCAATGATTGAATTTCCACCGAGGGTTAGAGTTGGGTCGGAGTGTGGGAATTGACTAGCCCACAGTCGAGTATTCCCCTTTTAATCGAAAGAGAGAGAAATGGTCGATTGTGGTTGATTCTTGATTTCTGATCCAACTCTAACTCTCGGTGGAAATTTAATCAATGTTATTTAGGGTTTTTTTTTTTTTGAAAAGTACAAACTTTGAATGCACGTGCTTAGCTGGGATTTTTCAGATATAAATATATTTGTAATCTATCGGATGAGATATCCAATAATTTGTTTAACGGTTATATAGTCTTGATCGGATATGTCGGGGCTACGGAACCAGCGTCGCAGTCTACTAGGGAGGCAATTGTTAAGCAGGAGGAGGGGGACAAAGCAGTGGCGGCGACGGCGATAAAGAGCGAGGACGTCATCGGACACGAAGTCGGCCAGCAGCAGGAGCAACACCAGCAGCAGCAACATCAGCAACAGCTGGCATTTGTGGCGACTGAGGAGACTGAAGAGGAGGACAGCGGTGTGGGCGTGCTGGAGGCGGGACAGCCGGAAATGGAAAATGGCGCCATGGTTGAGCCAACCGGTGCCGAAGCAGTCGCTATTGCGGTCGCCGCCGTCGCCGCTGCTACCGACGATCATGCCAATGAGGATCCAAATACTGCTTATACCCTTCATGAGCTCGACTATCATCCTACACACATAATTCATGAAAGGTGAGTGACTTAGGGCAAATATCCTAATTAAAACGAATGTTTTGTATACGTAAAGTGCTAGTAAAACGATGTCATTTAATTACCGAGTTTTATACTCCTTTATATATTATATATTATGTTTCGGAACGGATAGAACTGTTTACAATTTGTGTGAAATTTATTTTTCTTTCCTTTATATTTTTCTAAATTTATTCTAGAATGATATTTTTATTATTATGCTTCCCAATGGTATTGAAACGATATGAAAAATGTAATAGAAAGGTATTTTCAAAATTATAAGAATAATATTATTATTCAACAATTAAATTACCAATTAATCGACCTCTATAAGAAATATTTACACATACATTCAAATGTATTGAGAGATGAAAATTATTAATCAAAGTTATTGAATTTTATATTTGCCTGTTAGTTGATAAAAAAAAATCTTTCCTATTTGTTTTTAACCCCTAAAGTTTCGGGGGCGGTGATATGAGGGAGGAGCAGCAGCCGCAGCAACAGGTTTCACAGTCGCCCCACCAATCACATCATCAACAACAGCACGACGCACACCACCATCATCGTCAACAGCAGCAGCAGCAGCAGCAGCAGCAGCAGCAGCCGCCGTCGCAACACCATCACCAACAGGCGCAACAGTATGTTCAGCTTGGGGCTAGAGAGGTCCCGGTTCCCGAGGGAGGGGATAACCGGCACCCGACGGAGGCCTCCATCGCGCCGGAGGGACGCCGTGCCGGCAGTCACATGCCTCACTCCACGATGCATCGTTACGGAACCGAGACACTCTCATCAACCACAACGGACCACCATCATCATCAACAACAGCAGCAGCAGCATCATCATCATTTATCCGAAGTGCATCAGCATACCGCTCTATCAGCCGTCGCTCACCGTCATCTAGAGGATCCGCAGCAACATCATCAAGAAACTGACGAGGACGTGGATCGAGGAGTGAGCAGCATCACCGCGGCCATGAGAGGGGCACGGGGTGATTATTTAGGTGTACTCTTCCCGAATCTCACTTCGTCAAATACTACGTCTAGTAATGGTGGCAGCAATCATCATCATCATCATCATCATCATCATACGTCGCACCATCTGGAGGATGTGTTGTCCGAGGAACCTTATCTGCAACATCAAATTCGCGGTGGCGGAGCTCCCCCGACTGGCGGTGCTTCTCCATCAGTGAGGACCGTTGGTGGCTCTCCGACCTCCAGCCACAGTCCGCATGATGATCAGGGTCTCTCATCGCCACATCGCCAAGCCCAGGAGACCGGTTACAGTCCCACTGATCAGGGCAGATTGCAATCTTTTACGCATCTTACGGCTATGCAACCACCGCCGTCGGTGCAAACCAATCACGGATTGCAGGAAGCCGAGCGTGTATCCGATCAGCTGTATATTGAGTCGATTTACACGCATCACGCCGCAGGTACTCCTCATCACCATCAGGACCAACACGATCAAGGCCCCTCCGCGCCGCATTCGCCCAGTGGTCCGCTCTCCAGGTTAGTAATCGTTATCGTTATCATTATCGCTGCACCGTACGAACGAATGTTGTGTTTGATGTGAACGGAATTTACTTTAAATCTGTCCAGTTCCCGTTATTGAATAATAAAAGCGAATAAGCTATATTTCTTTCCTCGTTTTTAGATAAAATTCTTGTTTCTTAAGAGTGAAATTGTTTTAGTGCTGAGAATAGAATAAAGAATCAGTGAATAAGCTAGTGCCGAACGCGAAATATTTTCGACGTGTCTTTCAAAGCGGCGTTATAGAGATGTGCTATTGGCGCTTTATTGTTAGAAGATTAATTTAAAAAATCAATCGCGATGTAATGTTAAATTACATTATTGTCTTTGCATCGTTCGTTGACACTATTGCAATGTATTTTTTTTTTTTCCGAGATCTACGGTTATCTCGCATAGAAAATTGTTCACTCAAAGTTCATCGTTTATTACACCGAGAATTCATTCAGTTACCGTACCTGTGAAATATATAAAATGTAATATGATAGATGCTTTGTACACGAAACAAGAATAAAATTAAAATTATAATATTTGATTCATAGTTAGGAAAACGAAAATAATATTGGCTTTATATCGGATGTTTTAAGACTGTGATTTATTTTAATAAGGGGATAAGGGTCAGTTGAGCATTAATAAATTGAACCAGTTAGCTTATAATGCTCGATGTGTATGTCAACGATATAAAAATGTTTATGTTAAAACATAATTTTTATCGAAAGTGCGGTACGATCAAACGTTATCCAAGACGTATGCCCAGACTGTTGCATCCATGCAAACGTACGGTTCTCCTTTCCTGTGCGCAAAAATATTTACTCGCAAGCTTTAAGAGCTATTCCGCTTCACGCAGGTTTGTGTGCGTAGGCGATACTTAATATACAGCCCGAAACAAAGCGCAACCGTCGGAAGACTGCCTGACCCTATGCTAACAACCATATGAAAGCGAAGATTGTCCCCATCCTCATTGCTATGTTTGTTGATTTATCTCGGGCACGAGCCTATGAATTTAGGTACTAAAAATCCTAAAATCGTCTCTTTTCATCATGATTTCTCTTTCTCTCTCGATATTATCAATTTTCCTCAGTCTTCGATCGTCTACTAGTTGTTTTAGTTTTAGCAATTAGTCCATATTTTAGTATTTTTCTCTTTCTTTTTATGACAATAATTAATACAAAGATAAAACTATAAGATGCCGGCATTTAAATAATAATAATAATGCCGTGAGATTAATGGTAATTGAATTAAATAATGAATGAGGGATAATTTTACTTGGATTTCGCGCGACTTTTGCTCTTAGCGCTTTTCTCTTCATATTCGATGCTTGCTGACGATAAGGGTTCATTCACCGATCGAAATGATCCACGCATTGGATCGTATTGTTTGCTACCCTCTGATTCTGGGAAAGGGAAGGAGACAGATTGCTCGCATCGCAAGACTCGCATCAAAGGCATCATGCGTCATATCCATGATTCTATGTTGATTCATTTGATCGGCGCGCATTTGTGCGCACAATAACTGTTGGATTTATCTTTATTACGTGACAATAAATGGGAATGTATAATGGAAAGAATCGCACCTTTGGCAAATAAGAATTCGCGATTCAATAAAAATTCACAAAAAAGAACAAATTATTTTTGAGAAAGATGTTATTAATTAAATGCAATGAACACGATTAATAATTTTCCTCGATACGTCAATTATAATAACTGCAATTTTATTTTATCCGTGATTTTATCCATTATTAATGTAACTGGTCTTCCCCCATATGCCGGATCTACATCTGATAAGATTTTATTGACTGATGAATGCAATTTACTGATGGATTCCCATTGATTGTTACCTCGCAATTCTATGAAAAGAGAGCAATCGGATAATCACGCTTACTTTTATCGTTCATGTCGAATGTAATCGAGAAGAAATGTAGAATGAAAGAGAGAGAGAGAGAGAGGGGGGGGGGGGGGGGGGGGAAAAGAGAAAAAAATATTTCGTATTTCTTAATTCACGCACTGTACACATGCACGGGTCGCGACCTTTTAAATTTGATAGCAAAAGTTCGAGTGCAGATCGCGATCCGTTTTTCTTTTGTTACTTTTTTTTGGATGACGCGAGAGATTGCACCAATGCAAAGAAATTGTTCTGTTATGCAATCATCTGATAGTTACGTAAATTTGTTTCAATTATATTCCGCACATAAAAATTATTTGTCATTAATAGATCATCAAAAGAAGTGATATCAGATAGTACTAATCTTGATTGTCAATTATTATTGTCTAAAATATCTTATAAGTATATGACACTAGCAGCAATCTTAAAATATAAAATAGAGAATTAGTTACATTATGATAACGAGTTAATATAATAAAACATAAAAAAATAACATAATGATGTATGGACATAGTGAGAAAATAATTAAAATTTTCTCTTTCTATCTTTTTCTCTTTCTCACACTTCAATTATAGCAATATTTCATACGTATGACTTGAGTTAAAAAATCTATAAACATGTAAATCATTAACGTAATCATTGACGATGGTGCAAAATTTGTAAATCATTTGAGGAAGCTGACAGTTCATAAATACATCTACACTGCGAATGATACAGAACAAAATCCTTCAAACAAGAACAAACTCATGTATCGTTTAACCTTTCTATTTTTTGTTATGAATTCTCGATGTATTTATTGTAACATCATTCATATATATTTTTTCTAAATTTTTGAATTGTGATATCACATAAAACTTAATTTTTTTTTGAACGTATATTTAATAATTTTGTAAAAAAAATTGTATATAATAAAATTTGTATATAAAAAAAAGTTTCAATGAATGTTAAATATTTTACGCAACTTTATGTATAACTACTACAATTTTTCTATTTAAAATAATTATATATATATTTTATTTTACACACACACACACACACACACACACACACACACACACAAATATACATATATTGTACTGATTTCAAAGTATCACGAGGCGCGTGCAATATGCAGCTGTCTACACCTAAAAATGATTTCAACATTTGTTTTTCTCCACCACGAGCGGTAGTCTTTCGATGCGAGTTTGCCGGCGGAAGTAACACGTAGTAGATTTCGCTTTACACGTAGTATCCTGACAAGCACTAATTTGTCATTCAAAATAATTATCTTCGTCTAATCGTAACATTTATTGTAAAATTCTAAATACCCAGCGCGTTGTTATTCAGATATTGACAAAAAAGAGGAAATAGTAACGATTTTTCGACGAAAGTTATATCTTTTAGTTTCACATTTATCTAAAACTTAAAAATGAAAAATTTAACAGTAACGAGTGCCTGGATTAGTACTTAATTATCTCTGATGAGTGAGTAGCAAAAATACGAATAGAGCGCTATGTTTTATAAATTTTTTTTGTCAACTCAAAAAAAAACAGATAACTATAGTTCATTTTGGGCGATAATAACTAATTTTTAGTAATTTAAAAAAAAATGAACAAAAAAGTAACAAAAACTTGTATGAATTATCTATGTAATATTTTACTATATATATGTTATTCAAATAGAAATTACTATTAAATAGTCCGGATCTTAGTGTTTCAATACTGAAATTCGTTAATTTTAAGAGAGAGAGAGAGAGAGAGAGAGAGAGAGAGAGAGAGAGAATTGTTATATAAAAAAAAATGTTGCGTCTTTGGTCTATGATGGTAGTCTCTCTGGAGACAGGACGAAAGTAAGTATTCTCCACGAGGCGTAATCGGCGGAGAACGTCAAACAGTGGGGCGTCTTAAGTGGTCAATAACGATGGTGGGGATCTCTCGTGACAGACTCAGTCAGAGAAGGCAAAGTTGGGGTGCACTGCGAAATGTGATCGCGCCGGTGATATCTGGAGGAGGGGAAAATATGTAGAAAATAACAAGTGGGGATAATTGTCCGTCATCGCAGGAGGGTCTCTTCGAGTGGGGAAGGGATTGCAGAAGGGGAAATCCTGACCACCTTCGAGGTCCTCCAACTCCATTCGGCTCGACGTTTCGTGCACTCTGTTAGATTATATTCCGCTCAGTTCTTGTCTGCCCGGTGACAGATACGGGACGCTCTCTGGCTCTCTTTTCTTTTTTTTTGGCTCTGTTTTTTTCTTTGCCTTCTTTATTTCGTATGACAAAACGTACATAAGCGAACGTAAGCGAAGGAAGAGGAGAAGATATCGAAGCTTATCACCTAATTACGCCCGCTAAGATGCAGTGAGTCTTTTTCTAATGAACAACTTATTTTATGAATGGTGTGCTTTGGTTATTTGTTGATTCTCATGATTGATATTTTTATATTTTCTGGAATGATGCTTGATGTTGCTGTTTATTTTTTATCATAATGTCAATCAATTAATTACATTTTGATAAAAATTGTATATATTGCGCAGGATTTGAAGATTATATAGAAGTTATGTGAAAGAACCGATAATTATATATTGCAAATATATATATTACAAATATATATTGCTATGTATTAAGAAAATAATTGCAAATAATAAATAATCACATATATTTATAATTATACATATGTATTCATCATACTTGCGTAGAACCAATGCAAAAGTCGATACAAACTTTTAGAATTCGTCTGATAAATCGATAACGTATGACAAAATTATTTATTTATTAAATATATTTTTAGGTATATATATTTTTTGTTTACTTATAGTTAATCTTTAATATTGCAAGTTATAATATTACATGTAGAGATATACACATGTATATATTATGTAGAGATATATGATGTAACATTTTTTTATCTCAGTTCTCTCTCTCTCTCTCTCTCTCTCTCTCTCTCTCTTTCTCAAAATTAATTTCAGTTTTGAAATATTAAGATCCAGACTATTGGCACAATTTGAATAAAGGAATATTATATTGAATAGTTCATAGTTGAATTTATCACTATGCTATTCAATCTAATGCTATTCAGTCACTTAAGTTTGTTTTATTATTATTATAATAAAAGTTATTAATTTA